GACTTCCTTACAATACTTATTAGCATTTTCATATGCAAGTTGTTTGACTATGGGCATGGCTGTAGTTACCTTTCCAAACATCCGTCCCGCCAATTGCAGGAGCCTGTCCACAAATTCATGGAATGGTTCTGATGGCCCCTGTAGTACCTTTGATAATTGATCTCCAGCGACTTTAGTAGGAAAAGCCTTCCATGCCTTAACGGCACAGGCAGCTATCTGGGCATATACTACTGATCATATTTTATTTGCTGTTGTAGTGGGGCATAGGCCCCTGCTCCAGTTAACATGTCTAGATCTCACTGAGCCAGCCCTGCCTGAGCATTTAATGAAGCCACTTGTAGACATTGTTCTTGGTACTCTCCCTGCCACAAGAGATAATCTCCCAACAGGACTGCGCGGCATAGCTGCTGCCAATCACTGGGTGTTAAATTTTGGGAAGTATATGACTCCACCATGGTCATAGTAAAAGTGGCCTGGACCCCGTAGGTTGCCACAGCCTCTTTAAGGCTTTTTAGGTCTTTAAACTGCAGTGCAAGATGTTGTCGTTGTACCTGACCTTGTTGGTTAGGTTCAGGAACTTCTATTACTGGTGCTACAATACGCAGCCCAAAACGCACTCCGACCCTTGGCTCTACATCATTTTTATAGTCTGGTGACCTCCACCACCACTCTTCCATGGGTGGAGCCAAGGGAGGAGGATGATGTGTCTTTTCCTTTAACCTGATATGTTTTAATTTTGTTTTTAGTTCCTGCATTTCCTTGTGAAGCATCTCCTCCTCCTCTTTCTCTGAGCTTCCCTCACTACTTTCAGGAGATTCAGGGTCATAGGGACCCAGTTTATGTGGTCTTGTGGCAGAGCTTAAGACTCCTGAACCTCCACATGCCCCTCTTTCCTGGTCTAGATCATCAGCAGATCCCAAAGAGCGGTGGGTTTCCACCTCCTGTATTTCTTGCAAAACTTCCTTGACCACCTCAAGTTCTTGTCTTACTTTCAATTTGTCTGTTAATAAAGAATCTAGAACCAGGCGCCACAAAGAAAATGTAGCTATTGGGAAGGTATCACTGCCTTGCTTTTGCAACTTCTTTTGACAATCCCGTCTTACCTGTTCCCAGTCAGGGATATTTAGTCCCCCTCCAGTTAGGAACCAGGGACTGGCCTCTGCTACTGTTTTAATGAATGTGTCTACTGTCTTTGTTTTTACTGCTGTTCCTTGTTCTTCTAGCAGTTTCTTAACCTGATATTGCAATTCCTGTTTACTGCTAGTATTACCCATGGTAACCCCAATACGCCCCTGCCAGCCTGGGATGACCCTGCCGGCCTGGGACGACCCTGTCTGCTTACCTCTCTTTCTCAGATCTCAGTGGAACCTCCAATTGCCATGCCTGCACGGCACGAAGCTGATCTCTGAGCGGAGGACATCAGGATTGAAGAGACAATCACACTTTTAGTGTAGCAGAAGAAGCTTTTATTTCTCAGCCCCAGGTTCCAGGTTGCTTTTATACCCTAGCCCAGAAGGCAGATGACCAAACGGGGGTGGGGGAGCCGTCGCATGACTGCAGGGTCAGTGCCAGGTCATGGTGTTCTCAGGACCTGATACTGGAAAATGAGCTGGTAAGCAATTCTGAGACTGAGGAACCACAAGGCCCAAAAGGTCACTGCGGGGGAGGTGCAGATGGAGGCCAGGACAGCATGTCCCAACACTTAGGGAAGATTTTGAATACATCCTATGTGTTTTCATTAGTTAATATAATTTCATTCATTTCAAAATACATTCAAATTTATCTTGAGACTTCCTTGTCACATATGATATTGGGATTATGTTTTCTTATCTCCAAATACTCAGGTATTTTGCAAGCATTCTCTCTTTTATTGGTTGGAGTTCTAGTCACTGTTGTCTACGAATATATATTGTATGTTTCTCAAACTTTGTATTTGATTTATCTTTCTATCTGTCTCTCTGTCTCTTTGTCTCTACATATTTCTCTCTCTCTCTCTCTCTCTCTCTCTCTCTCTCTCTCTCTCTCTCTCTCTCCCTTCTCTTTCTCTCTCTCTGTCTGGGCCATACTTTTCAATGCTCTGCCTAAGCTTAACTTGAAAGAAAAGTGGCATAATCTGCTGTTTTGGGATGGAGTAGTCTATATCAGTATTTATATCAAATACATCTTTGCTGATATTCTCTGAAATCATTCATTAGAGAAATGTATTTAAGACTTTGTCTTATCCTGATCAGATTGTTATGATTATCTGGGTAGAAGATTCAAAAATAAAAGGTTTGTATGTCTTATATAGATAAGCAGGGTTGTATGTATTATATTTATAAGTCCATGATAAAAGCATGAGTAGATTTTGTGGTCCAAAAGGATCTGCTTTCCGACCCATATACAGCATCATATCACTATGTTTATACATGGGCAAAGGACAGAATTTTTTTTTTTAATCAGGACAGTAATTCTACTCAGGAAGTTTTTGTTGACTTGGCACTATCACCTCCCATGGACCCTAGCTTCTAATATTGCCTTCTTAGAAGGTAAGTGTTCAACATATAAATATGGGGGACATAAATATTCATACTCTATACATCACTGTTGGGCCCCCAACCCCAGTCTGGGGTACCCAACGTCCACGGAAGGTCGCACCCCAATAACTCAGTCCTCAGACCAGAAGATGCAACAAGCAAGAGGATTTAATCCTTTGCGCAGACAGGCTCCTGCCTCACTCGGAGAGAGCAGCAGCCCAGAGCTCAGCTTACAGGCTTCTTTTAAAGGCAAAAACCACAAACCACAAGCAGCAGAGTG